CCTCGCCAGTCACCCCTATCATTCGATCATCAGAAGTACCCACTACAGATGACTTCTTCACTGCCAATTTTTCTAACTTCTGCAATAACTTATTCACCACATTCTGGTTCTGTTTCACACCAACTTGTACAGCCTCAGTAGAAGCAGAAGTGCAAATTTTCTTTCCCTTAACAGACTGCTCCTTCAAAATCTTAACATTTTGTGAAGTACATTCCATTCTCGTATGTCCCCAAGTCTTACACACACTGCACTTTGGAGGCAACCAGGGATAACAAGCTTATACCGAGACCTTTTCACCATTTGCATCCTGGAAGTCGATCCTCTCTACCAGCTTCTTATGAAGATTAACCTCCACAAGGAGACGCACAACGTCCAAACGAATACATCTTTCCGTACTCGGGTGAAGCTTGACAAATTTTCCAACCCCCGAGCCAAACACTTCAATCCCTTAGCTGAAAACAAATGACTAGGCACCCGTTTCAGATCAGTGCACATCAGCATGGACATGAGATCAGGCTTCAATGTTGCAGTCTCTGGAGACCACTCATTCACAACCATTGGGATGTCCGCAGTGTACCAATACTTCTTCTGCAGGATTCTACCTCTCATCTGCTCGTTCTCAATGCGGAACAAGACTGTATTATTCTCAATAAGCTGAACATCAACCTTAGACTTGCTTTTTGGAGAAGTCCAAATCCGATTGACTGTAGCATGGATTGATCCTACATGAGGAGCATCACCAATAAAGTAACCTACACTATAGCATCTCTATAGTGGGTTTGTGTCCGACATAATCTCTGTTGGAATCACCATGGATACCACTCCGTTAGTTTCCTCAAAAAATGGCTGTAACGATCCTTCCCTGTCCCCCATCCAAGGTGAAAACGGCGGAGAGGGATTTGCATAAACCTTCCTTGGACACTCCATCGATGCTTCTCCCAAGTCTACAGTCGCTATCTCATATGCTCGAGAGACCGCTACTGTCTGCAAGAGCTCCTCACGTGCTTCTCCTGGAGATAATTCTGAGGTTCTAGGGGTGCTTCTGAATTCGCTGTCGTCGTTGCTGTCCATTAGGTCAAAGAAATTGGTAAGCTTATGATTTTTTTTACTAAAACTGATTTTAAACAACAATAAAATATGTAAATAATTAAATAATCGTCAAACTAATAATCTAATTATATATTTTATTTTATTTTAATTGATTTAAATATCCATCTTGAATTATTAATCCAGGTACTTTTTTGTTTTAAAAATTTATATGCAATCTTTATTAATATTTAAAAATGTGGAAGTTTTCCTTCGGATTTGAGTCTTTATATTTACCAATAAAGAAATTCACTCAACTCCATTGTAGAATCAAATTAATTTTTAAATTCATACGATTAAAGTGAAAATCACATAAAAAACCTTTGCACTCAATAGCACTTTAAACTTTTAACCTATTTAACTAGCATATTAAACATTCAACATGTTTTATATCATAAAAACCTTCAACTTGGCTTACTTGTTCATCAAGTCAAAACTGTGACATGGTAACCTGTAATAGTAGGTGACATATTTTTATTTATTTTTATTTAGTTAACAAATACAATTAACAATAAATAGAAATAAGAAACATATATAAAAATTAGAACGTTACAGAAAAAAATAAAATAAAATTTAATAAAAATTAAAATATTTTCTTAAAATTTTAATTTTTTTTTCAAATGAAAGTTTTACAAAAAAAAAAGAATATAGTTTTTCAAAAAATCATATAAAAGTTATAAAATATTCTCATAAAAATTAATTAATTTTTAACATTATCATCATTAACATGAACACTCTTCGTCATATCATAATTAAGTGTAACATTTTTGGTTTTACTGATAATGACAATAGTATCAAAATATTTTTTTTTTTAAATTTTAATTTTTTAGAATGCAAGTTTTACAAAAAAAAAAAGAATATAGTTTTTTTTAAAAAAATCATATAAAAATTACAAAATATTTTCATAAAAATCAAAAAAATTTAAACATTATCATCATTACTATGAACACTCTTCGTCATATCATAATTAAGAGTAACATTTTTGGTTACTTAGATAATGACAATAGATCAAAAATCATTGTTATCCGTATATCAAAAATTATCACCGTTTAAAGATGCTAACATATCCAAATTAAATGCCTTAAAACTTAAAAAATGTTATTATTAGTAGTGATATGACGAAAAATCTTACTTTTAATAGTGGTACATCAAAAATTATTTACTTTTTAAATAATATTAGCGATTTATAATTTTTTTTTTTAAAAAATATATATATATATATATATATATATATATATATATATGTTTTCACAAAATTGAATTTATACTATTATTTAAGAAGTAAATTTGCTTAGTTGTCATGTTCTCCATAAGTTTAGGTAATTTTGTTTATTTATGATATTTTAATATTTATATATATTTTTATATATAAATAAAACGCATTTATATGAATATATCATATTTTAGTAAAACAGATAATTCTTGTGAATTATGCTATAATCTTGAAATATATTTTTATATAAAAAAATTAATTTTAAATTAAGATATAAACACTATTATATATATCTAAAACGAATTTATATTAATAATTTTAATATTTAAATATAACTAAAACAAATTTATATTAATAATTTAATATTTTTCTAAGATAATCATTATGGATTATGTTGTTATGTTGAAAATATATTTTCCTATTATAAAACTTAAAATTAGGATATAAAAATTATATTATTATTAATTAAATATAAATCATCAAAATAATTATTTGAAAAGTGAATTTGTTGATTTGTCTCCATAATCCTAGGTAATTTTGATCATTTATCAAAATTTCTATAATTTTGTTTATTATTGATTATATAATTAAAAATAATTTATATTAATAATATGATATTTTAGAAAAAAGTTCATTCTTATGTATTATGCTGTTATCTTGAAAAAATATTTTTCTATCAGAAAATTTATAATTTACATGTAAGAAATCTATAATGTTATTTAAGAAGTGAATTTGATGTTTGCGGATTTGTCATATTTTCCATGATTTTATGTAATTTTGATAATTTATATAATTTATATATAATTTATTATATATTTAAAACAAATTTATATTAATAGTATCAGATTCTTAGAAAATAAGATACTTCTTATGTATTAAGTTGTTGTCTTGAAAATATATTTTTCTAATAGAAATCTAAAATTAAGATATAAAAAGTTGTAGTTATTCTATAATTGAAATAAATTTACACTAATAATATTATACTCTTAGAGAATATGGTAATTCTTATGTATTATGTTGTTATCCTAAAAATATATTTTTATATTATACAATTTAAAAGTAAAATGGAAAATTATCTATTATTAATTAAATATAAATCATCCATCAAAAAAAAATATTTAAGAAGTGAATTTTCTGATTCATTAAGTTCTGAATGATTTTAGGTAATTTTAATTATGTCATAATCTCTATAATCTTATATAATTATTATATAGTTAAATACATTATCATATTATATTTTCAGAAAATAAATAACTTATGCATTATATTGTTATCTTGAAAATATGTTTTTCTAATATAAAATTTAATATTAAGATATAAATATTATAATTAAATATAAATCAAGAAAAACAGTTATAGAAATATATTCTTTTAAATATTTCTGATGTTTGAGTTTTGTCATTGATAATTATTTGATGTTTGATTTTTACTTTTTGAAAACATAAATAATAACTTATTATGCTGATTTTTAAATTAATGAAACATCAACTAATAATTATTCATAAGACAATTATGCCCGCAAGTGCGGGCAAATCACCTAGTTTAACATAAAAAATAAAAACACTTTTTAATTTTCAAGAAAATAGATATTTTTTAAAAACAAATTAAGATTTTCGAATTTTTCTATATATAAAAGACTCTTTTGTTTTGCAAAAATTGCTTTTTAAAAGAAATCAAAATTTTAAGAATATTTTTGGATTTCAATTAAAATCAAATTTTTATTTTTCTATAATTTATAGTTTTTATTTATATTTTTATTGTTATTTATTGTTAATTACATTTGTTATTTAAATAAATAAAAAGACGAACACGTCACCTATTATTACAGGTTACCAGGTCGCATTTTTTGATTTGATAAATAAGTAAGCCAAATTAAAAAAATTTTATGATACAAAATCTAAATTAAATGTTTAATATGTTAGTTAAATAAGTTCAAGGTTTAAAGTGTTAGTGACTACCCCTAAAAGGTTTTTAATGATATTTTTCCTACGGTTAGATAATATACATGATTTGAATTATGATTCATAGATCATAGAACCAATAATACATAGAACCAATAATACATGATTTCAGTATATAATCTTAAATCATTAAAACATAAAATCCGGATTTGTCGTGGATTCTAAATCCTTTAAATACATAAACAACAGCCACCATTTATTTTTTGAACATATCATTAGAAATTCAACTCTCATTAACACTACCTAATTGTATTTTCTATGAAGATATTCTTGGATTTTATTCGATAATTAAAAAAAAACACATGTGAACATTGTTCTAAAAGCTCATTAACTCAATTGATTTACCATTGACACAACAGCATGCCACGTCGATGACGAACTGAAGAAGAAAGGAACAAGAACATATTAATATGCGCCAAAGGTCGGACTACAATTTCCCTCTCGAAAACGTGAAGGAAGAAGATTGAAGAAGCACTCTCAGGTTTTTTTCTTTTCTTTCTCTACCAGCCAGATTGATTTAAATCGCGTAGCGATTCCATCTTACTATTGTGTAGCGTACGAATTACAAATACATTTAAATCTTACGTTGACTTTGTTTCCCTTTTGGTAATGATAGCGTCTTCTCTCCTCTGCCATTCAAACTATTCCTTCCTTCTACTCTAGAAGATCGGAGCTATAGCCTATAGTTCGTTCGATCGTCCCCCGTCGGTTTTTCTAATTCTGTTTCCCGCGTTAGATCTATGGCTGTATTAGTCAAAAAAGTTGATCGCAGAGACGGAAATGAACAATCTGGGTCGGTCGAGCAAGAAGCTTCCATCAATGGGTCTCCAAATCTCCGGTACGAGATGGTCGCTAGTCGTGGGATTGAAGCAATTGTTAATAGTCTGGTTAGTAAAGAATCTCCTTGATGCACGCAACATGTTCGATGAAATGAATCTTTTCAAAGTATATTCATGTTGTGTATATGTTTTTTATTATTGAGACAGAGCAAATGGGTTGTGTCTATTCTGTTTGCTTCCATCATTCTTCTGCGTCATGATGGTACAGCCTTGTGGGGAATCATTGGATCCGTTTCGAATGCGGCTCTCTCTGTAGTACTCAAGCGTATACTTAACCAAGCGAGGCCTGCTACAACCTCGCGAACTGATCCCGGGATGCCATCTACTCATGCCCAGTCCATTTCTTTCATATCTATGTTTGCTGTTTTGTCTGGTAAGCAACTAAGAAAAAAGAGCTTCGGAAAATAAATAGTCATCAATTATTTTCACTAGCTGTTAACACAAATGGATCATATTGTTATTATATAGTTATGGAATGGCTTGGAACCAGTAAAGTCTCCCTGTTTCTTAGCTGCTTCATCCTTGCGTCGGGTTCCTATTTTGTAAGTATTTGAATTCACATGCTTTGTAATCCCTTGTTATGCAAATGCTATGCACTATTACAATGTTGCAAAAACTTGATTATGCGCAGATACGGTTAAGGGTTTCTCAGAAGCTTCACACAAGCAGTCAAGTGGTGGTTGGTGCAATCGTGGGTTCTGTTTTCTGCATCTTGTGGTACACAATGTGGAACTCGCTTCTCATTGAAGCCTTTGAGTCCTCTCGATTACTCCAAGTATCTGTATTTCTGGTTGCAGCTGCATTTGCACTAGCTTTTGTAACCTATGTTGTACTTAACTGGTTCAGAAACGATAGATGAGCAACAAGTGTTTTTATTAGCATTGTAAGCCAAACAAAGGAAAGAAGTTTATTGCCCAAAATTGTAACCCTCAATGTTTTCATTTTTGCATATTCGCACTGAGACTAGAAATGTTAATAAGTAACACGAACCAAACCAAATATTAGTTAGTGAATGTGGCTTCCACTCTTACGCCACCGTGAAAAAAGAAACATGTGTGTTGCAGCTACTCGGAGCTATACATCGAACGGTTAAAACAATAATCAAATATGTATCTATATTTCTATTCACAAGGCGTGCTAAACGTCCTGTATCTTATTTCTCTTGCTCATATCAAACACCCATTATGGAGACAAGAGGCTTACTTAATCATCCTTAAGAGTATGTGATCCTTCAGATGATGGTTTGGATGCACTAGGAATGTAAGACCATGCCAATGCCACGCTTCCTAGAGTAATGGTTGCTGCAATTGATCCCCATATCCATCTCTGCCTCTTCTTTCTCTTCTGCCTCTTTCGTCGTGCCACCTCTGGTATCAACGTCAGAGATCAGATTCATACAAACAAGAAAGACAGAATGACATAGAATAGTTTAATTTTTTACTACCTATGGCCTCTTGGTTTCGTTGGGACATTTCTCGGTTCACTGCTTCGTAGTAGTGTACACGGTCAGACAACCGCGTGATTTCAAAGTTCTTAGTTTTGAGCACAGATTCCACCTCCATCTCTACCTCAGCCTTGGCCATACCTCTGGACAGAGAGTCGGAGACAAACCTAGCGACCTCGACTTGGCAGCGTAATTCTTCTGATAGGTTCATATAATTGGTGGAGGTGGTAGGATCGATAGGAACGAAGACACCGACCTGGGCCAACTGCTCGCGGAGTCTCTGCCAGTGTATATGCATCTTCTCTAGAGCCTCCTCCGTTTGTTTTCTCTTCTCGATTTCAAGTAGTAAGCTCAGCCTTATCTCCCTTAGTTCAGATTCAATGTTGTTATTTGAACTCTGCATTCCACTGTCGGTTGATAGTTCTGGAACACCAAGAAATTATAAGGAACTCTAACATGTGACCAATCAGAACGATAAGAATTGAGAGATATCTGACAAGGAATAACATAGCAAGAAAGTGAGAGTTAGATAAGTACCATCCCAAGCATCATAAAACTCTCCCACAGGTGTAGCAAGTCTTTGTGAACCTTCCTCTCCTCCATCACCCTCTACCTCTGTGTTACTTGTGAAGCTTGCTGATTCACGTGGGTCATAAAAATCTTCACACTCACTCTCCTTTCCTTCTTTGGGCCCCGGAAGATTGTTTTCCGGCTCTAAACCATTGGCAGCATTATCCAAATCCGACTTTCCACTCCAACTACCAAAAGGACCATCAACAATCCCATCAAAATTCTCTTCCGTAGACTCACTTGCAGGAAACGAGAACGAGGTGGATTTCCTCCTTGAAGAAGCCTTGACGTCTTCGGCATTATCAGTAATAGCTTCATCAGACACATTAGCCTCAGAAGAGCTTTTCAAAAGACGCGGGCCACGAGATTTGTGGTTGATGATATAAGGAGACGGTGGGAAGGAAGATGGCGAGTTAGGTAGTGGGATTGCATCAGGAGTGGCGTAGAGCGACGGTGACATCTTGGGACGACTGAAAGTCCTCTCATTAGGTAATTTACCTTTACCTTTCTCCAGCGGCGGCTTTGAATAATAAGACAGCTTTGTGTTTGGAACAGAAGATGTGGAAGCCCCTGGGTCTAGCATTCTATCCAAAGCAATAGCAGAAAAAGTAGGCATGGCTCTGCATCATTCAAAGATTTACATTAGTAATAATTATATTTTCACACGCCAGCAAAAGAGACGTTACTAACCACAAGATCGTTTCTTCATTTCAATTACTAGTAGAGTTCTAGGGACTCACATGTTCTCGTCTAGTGGATGAGGTCTAGCGGATCACAAGTTTAAATCAGCTATTGAGAAGGTAACACCATCGCAACCACAAAGCTGTACCTAACGGTATGAATAAAACAGCTCACGAAAACCTAAAATCGAGGAAGAAGCTCGCAAATCAACCAAGAAATCGAGAATCTAGAGGCTAACAACCGGTCAAGTCGTCAAGTGCAATCGAACAACACCTCCAAGCTTCTCAAATCTACGATAAACACAACAAAAATCTTTCGAAACTTTTGAATAATATGGTAAAAGAAGAATTACCACACGCGCAAAGGAGATCTCCACGGAAGAAGCTGAACGGATCCAACGGTGGAGCCTCTGGTTAGACGAGAGGATTGGTAGAAGAAGTAGAGGCGTGATACGGCATCGTATAAGAGATGCAGAGGAAGAGGAGGAAGCTGCAAACGAGACCTCCGCTTTGTCTCTCCGCAAATATTTGATTTGAAAAGCTTCTTCCCCTATTCTTGGCTAGGCGACCAGTTTCTGAACAGATTCCTTATTTTATCTTTTTATCTTTATTAATTTCAAAATTAAACATCTTCGCTTGGTCGTCGAACTTTTTAGATAAACGTGTGGTTTTAGGGATGTTGTTAAAAAAAAAAAAAAAAAAAAATGTTGTTAAAAAAAAAAAAAAAAAAACGTGTGGT